TAACAACGCTTTTCAGTCTCTCAGAGTAGCGTCGAATGAGAGAATGATTGTGAATGGGAAAGGATGTGAAAGGAAGCGGTCGTGGCTTAATTTAAGGTACTATCCCGGAATTAGCCTGGAGGGACTGAGGAAAACTATGACCCCGTAGTCAGGGTAGCCTGTTTCCGGGCCGAGATCTGAATCCGGGACCTCCCTAATACAAAGGAGGAATGTTAATTACTCGACCACGACGTTAGGCCCTACTCTGTGGACCCTTTAGTCGAGCTAATCCGAACTTTGGACGAAGCTACGATTCAAGACATAGACTCGATTTAAATAAAAATAACAAGCGATATAAAATACTTTGTATGAATTTTCTCATATCTATTGCAGGTACAAGAAATAAAACTAAATGGATTATACAGTTCTTTCTTGAACATAAGACTTATGGAATATCCAAATACCTATTTAAAATTTCACACATCATATGCGATTCAAAAATAACAGAAAACTTGGAATTTAAACGTCAAACCTTGAGAGTAGCCTTTGTGTGTGTATGTGTAACCTACTGTGTAAGCATTTATAAATTCCAAATAAAACCACTTTGCTCAGCCGATCAGGAGCTAGAGCGAAGCACAAATTCACAACACACACACAAAATAAATAACATATTTTTCGGCATCTTTGATATCTAAAGCAAAATATATAAATTTACTTTCCTCGATCACAATAATTTACCTCACACAAAATAGATGAGATCATAAACTCATACATACACAATATAACGAATATTTCTCTGCATAATTTCCACTTGAGCAGAGACTTCTCGTGGATTGGCACTACATGAAGTTTTTCGGCATTACACGCCTTTGTTTTGTTTAATTTTAGCAGTTTTGTACATTAAAGGTATAACTCACAAGGCGCAAACACTGATATATTATAAGACCATATATTTTTCATAAAATCAGACAAAAATGTTACAAATTAGAATTAAAACCACGTGACGCAATTAGTGACAGCAGCGTTTCTTCAATAATATGTACTATAGTTACACTGCGACAATTCTGCGATTAGGCAGTGCTATTACCTTCACACGAAACTTAATGGTTACATGCTAAACCCTACTACGTTTCCAGTCTTATTTGCGTTACTGGAATTAAGGAAGGGAAAAGGGACTTCATAATACATGTTACACTTCCGGATTCTTCAGAAATACTATTGTAACACACGATAATACAAACGTAAGGGATAAAGCTAGAACATAAAGACATTTCAATCATTTTCACGAAAATAAGATATACTTCGTAAAGCGAAATCTTTTATATGTTTACGTGTTTGATCACATTACAGCGGCCAATACAACGACTAAACTCTTGCCCCATTACTTTTCTTTCGAGGTTAAAATTCAGAAAAATTATTTTACTGATCCGCAGGTTCAATTTAGTTTGCGTATTTTCGTGCGTTTAGGTACAATAATCCGAAACTATATCATTAATCGCTTGAAGGCCCCCCACCGTCATCGCCTTGAATACCAACCAAATAACATCCGCACTTTGGAACTACGATTACCTTCTGTGAACCGAAATACCGCCTAGAGTGGATCCTTAAGAGTATAATCAGAACTCCTGTCCTTGGCTCCAAGCTATCACTGATCCTCTTGACGTCACTAACTGCGTCATGATTTTATCTGGTAACAATCCCTGTTGATTACTGAACTGGAGCAGAAATGGCAATCCAGATCTAGAAAGATCTGTGAACTAGGATTTCTCGAATTGGGCAATAACTATTCACCTACAAACATCCTAAGCCAAAGCTAATCTCTAAATTTCTCTAATAAAGGACACTGTACATTCGACAAAAATTTTCTCCAGGTTAAAACTATTTATAATATTATATTTATATATATTTATAATATTAATAATAGACATTATTATGTAGTAATCCACACTAAAGCCGGAATGCTTAGAAGACAGCGGTTCAAAACGTAAATGTATCCTAGAGAGAATTAAACGTAAATTCTCTTGTTGACAGAAAACGTGAGGGAGGTTTCTACATTACTTACCATCCATTATGGTCTTACCTAATAGTTCATGGAAACACGTTATATAATTAAGTATGTTTATCAACGTCGGACTCACATACTGTATTGACATCTGCATGGAAAGATTTATTTTTAAACCACCTCTATTTCATCGTGGACCCAATAAACGTCGAAGTAATTCGTCATTTTAAACGGTCTAGAAGTAGCTCCTAAAACAACTTCTTACAGTCGTTACTCAGATACTGACCTCGAACACAGAAAATACAAAACACGTCATTCGACCGGGCTTGAATTTATGTTGGCATTTTGTGCCTACAGATCTGAAGAAAGGATGTTTAAGTTGAAAATAGACTGTTTGTTTCTGTTAGCATGTTTCGTACGTCTGGTGTTAGACAGGTGCACACAACTTGAAGCAAAAGAGAAGGATAAAGTTTATAATCTAAAAACATTTATACTACTATCCAATATAAACTCTTCGATAAAATGAAGAAGGCTCAATTGAAGATGATGTATCTATTCTTAATGGACCTTGTAACCTTAACCCAGTCCGTCTCCCTTTGCATAACAATCTTCTTATTTTCAACTACGCCTGAAAACAGAATATTAAACCGCCTCTATTAAGGGTGCTTGCATGATATTCAATGTTAAATACATCGCAACGTTTCTCACAACTTTTATATCCTGACAAATACTCTGACAGACTTATGTATCCTGTTATAAGAGCAGTTTCTTAACAGGATATAAGCTTTCGTTAAAGGACTCCATACTACCCGAGATCTACGACTTTCAAGAAGGCTCCTATGGTTATTGACGGACGTTGTGTGAGCGGACTGTCCTAACATTTACCTACCTACCCAATAACAAAAATATACATTTTTTATACCCACGGGTAGTTCACATTCAAAATCAATATCGGTTAGATTCGAAGTTATTAGCAACGAGTATGAAGAAGGCCATATTCTGGAACGTAGCACTGCGTAGTCTGGTAGATTATGACCGAGGTTTCTGCCTCCAACATTAGGGTGACGAGGAATCCCCGCGCGGAACTGTGAAAGTCCCGCCGAGGGACTGGAAGATTTCAAGGAGCACCGCGGTGGTTTTTGCAAAGACTGCCAGACGCATCCAAAGGCCATGATCGGTCTTGTTTTTAGGACAGCCAATAAAGTGGGTCGAAAAAGCACCAATACGCAGCTGACTTGAGTGGCACACACCAATCAGGTTAGAAGAAAGACAGCTCAAATACTGGACGTACTTGGCTCTTCCCTCCGTAATAGAAAATGTGCCCTGTCTATCCGAAAAAAGGCGCTGCCTTACAAGCAACTCATCAGTCCTATGGTGCCCCATTTGGAGGTCCGCTGCTCGCAACCATGTCCGCAGAGCAAGTCTGTTCGCACTGCGACTGACGCATCTTGGTACGTCAGTAACACGCGAATTTATAAGGATCTGGGGGTTCCACTTTTTGCCGAACACACCAGAACACTGACAGCTTCGACTCAAAGTTAGATGACGCAGATAATCAAGGTTCACCAGGCCAGTCGAGGCTGTCCTGAACACGTCGGTCATGTCGAAGCAATGATTAGTGCTCTCGGCTCCCTCGAATGGGGTTTTCCGTGCATTTCCTCTGTTGTAAGGAAATGCCAGGGTATTTTTCAAAAGGGGGACGGCCCACCTACCAACAATGATGGAGAACTTTAGCCAAAGCAATCTCAACCTTTCTAGGTTCAATTCCCAGACATCCAACCAAAGTTCTTTTCGCAAAGGAGAAATTACCTGATGTGATCATTAGCCCATCAGTATAAACGGCCTTTTGTCTGAACATGTCAAGGCCTTCAGCCAAGACAACAAACCTGTTGGCATAAGCGCATCTCCAGTTACAGTTTATAAGGCACTGTCTTCCAGCTGTTCGATTCGCAAGATTCCGCCCATAGTTTAATTTTAGGTTGTCTGGTTGGTCGCTGATTATACCCATATTGTTCGCCACGTTTCTTAGTTACAAAGAACAGGACATCGAATTTTTGTCGTAAACTTCGGTGAACGGAGGTACAAAGTGCCGTGTCCCTGCTAGCTACATACGATAAATAAACAAAACAGAAAATGATTTGCTTTTTTGTCAAAGTGAATAGAATTGGAAGTCATAACTACTCGTCGTACGTTTCATGACAGATCTGTCTGAAAGTTGATGTTCTGTATTTACAACAGAAGTTACTGGGGAAATTTTGTTGTAGTCTCTATCAGTTGAATACGTAATCTTCTATAAATGACGCTGAAATCGAACTTACCGATTTTATACAAAAAACAGTTCACTGTAAAAAAATATCTGTAGGCCTACAACACAGCGATAAATATTATCGACAGATTTTATCTGAAACATGTAAATATTTAACAAGATACAACGAAAAAGAATTTTTGACTCAACATAACGGAATGTTGGTGTTCATTTACCTTTCTTTCTGTTGTGTGTGAAAACAAATATTACATCGTATGGGTCTAAGCAAGGATTTTTCCTCTAGCCTCTGCGTCCAGACCGGCTCTGGAGCCCACCCAGCCTCCTATCCAAAGGGTACCGGGGTCCTTTCCCGGCGGTAAAGCACGGCCGGGGCGTGACGCTGACCGCTCACCTCAACCTAGTACCGAGGTTAAGAATGAGTAGGTGCTATACCGCCTCTCCCACGAGCGCCTTCATGGTGTATAGTGGGACAGCTTTACTTTACTTTTTAATAAATACGATTAATATAAATTGTTTTTAACACTGATAGCTAGTCTTTTTGAATATATTGAAAGAAATTCGAATCAATATACAGCTTACATAGCAAGACACATATTAGGCCTACGTCGTACGAATGTATATAGCAAAGAATCACAAGTTTTTTAACCCGAGACACACCCTAATTTGTCAGAAACACTTTTATTCACAGCACATCCTAATATGCCACAGATACACAAGAGCACGCCATAAAAACTCAAGAAAGGGTGTACGAAATTATGCATGGCCATGTATCTGCATTTTAATAATTGCCTTGAAGAATTGCAGGCATACGAAAACAAATCATACCAAATCTGTGTGCATTAAACATTCAAAGAACGAAAGATAAGACATTGCCCTTTTCTAATTATAATGTGCAAATATGCAATTTCTTATACAAATCTACGGCACACAGCCTTAATGGGAGCACAATGCTATAGGGTACAAATGACTTAATAGGTAAATAACAAGCACTGTTGAAAAAATTAATTCATATTAACTTGAGATATAACTTGCAAACAACTGTGCTCTTCCCACAAGAGGTGGCAAACAGGTGCCACACTGCTAGTACTAAAAAGTCCTCTTGGTGTATTTTGAAGTTGGGAACATCTTTCTGGTTTTTATAGTATACTGCAGAACCATCGGAGAAATATATATTTTCTTCGTAAAAAATTACAGCAGCAGCAACAAACCGAAGGCCCCTGACTTGCGCAAAAATTTACACAACAATGATGATTACAATATTAACCTTTGTTTACGATTATTCTACAATTTATATAAGCTCTATGGTTTGTATCTCACAACTATGCAACAGTCGAGAACAGCTCTGACTAAATTCGGTCTTCCTGTTTAGGTCGGACCAGTGAAGGTAAAATTAAACTATATTCTGCATTTCTATATTTACTATATATATATGGTTTGTCTTACGACAATGTCAGTGGCTCAGATCATGCAGTACTTAATGGTAGAATTATTTAATGAATAGGAAAAGATATGAAAGCGGTCATGGCCAAATTTTTGATGCTACACCACATATTTGCCTGGAGGGGCTGAAGAAAAACACAAAAACCTAAATCAGGATAACCGGTTTCCGGGCAGAGATTCGAAGCCGGGACCTTTCAAACATGAAGCAAGAATATTAACCACTGGGCATTATCTTCAGTCTCTGCACATACCTTTCACTGAAACATTCCCATTAATCATCTACTTACGGGAAACTGCACAGTGGAACTGGAATTTGGAGTCCGTGAAACGGGTGAACCAGAATACATGCTACTCACATTTTCCGCTAACCTTGATATTTTACAAAACTGAGCCACTAATCACAATAAAGAATCACAGGATCCATTTACTTCCATTAACATATTCCACATGCACTTCGGTGTAAAAATTTCCGTTTTGAAAACCACACGGAGAGAAATATTTTTCACACAGAAATACACTTCCAAAAGTTCCAATTAGAAAATAGTTTTGCTACCTACGGACATCTAATACCAACCAAATCACTTCACATTTTTTTTTAAAACAAAAGAGTCATTACAGATTATGCACCACAGATAACTCATTGAAGATTCTTGCTATCACTTAACACAAAGAAACATAACTGTTCGCACGTATAGTCACAGATTATACTTGTCGCAAGATATCTCCGAGCTTCGTTGGCCATTACAAATACACAGGTAAGGGGTCAGATAGCCTTGATAAGGGGAGGGAGGTAAAATGGTAGCACATATGGCATTCCCCCCCTCCCCGACTACTTTTTACCCCTGATATAGCTGAGGCCCACAATTAGTTTGTGATCAGTACACCAATCAGCGAAACATACATAACCATTAAAACTTATGCATTTGTCACGATTTTGACCCTGCAACAACAAATAGCAGAGTTAAAGACGGTATATTTGTTTCCATTTGCCAAATTTCTGTACATCTATAAGAATGAATATATTTGTGTTATTCGTGGTCGAACACTAACAATTATGAGTGAACTATTAATTTCTGAAGAACTGCTTGATGGAATTCAAGTGAGTTCAGTTTATTAGAATTCCATATATTCTTCATAGTACAAGCCAAGGATGTGGAGAAACAATCTGCACTCTCCCTGACCTTCCAACCTCCCCACAAAACCTATGTAATTATAAAGATTTGATCCGCATACCAACAACATAATTTGGGTCTGAAAAATGTTCTGAAACTAATATGTAGATGTCATTAATGGAAAAAATTACATAATGAGGATCTTTAAATCAAGGATGACACCAACGAGCTTGTGGAGCATTAAAATTCTGGAACAGTTAACATAATTTTAACTCAGACCTTTGAAAATGGTCACAGAGAAGTGTGGGGTCATGACATTTGTGTGGGCCCAGGTGCCTGGGTTTTATAATGCAGGGAGGGAATGTAGATATAGATGAAGCACCTGAGGATGAACTGACAGCCAAAACATTAATGAGCAACATTTAAAATATATAACAGTTTAGCAATGAACTGATTTAATTCATATGATACTATGGAACACAAACCTATCTTTAAGCAAAGTTCTACTGTATTCATAGTGTACTGCCTCCTCTATACACTAGAATAAAACAAAATACAATAAAATAACACAGTATGTGCATTTCTTACCAGTTCTGGCCTTTCTTAACACTGATGCAGATGTGTTTGGTACCTGTGTAAATGGAAAGTGAAGGTTTTGTCTTTAATAAGGAAATATAAATGTGCACATTATAAAAAATAAATGTTAAAAATTAATAAAAGCACTTATAAAAATTTTACATTGCTTCAAATAATAAATTAGAAGGAATTAATAATAATAATAAGGAAAAATCCTCTGCCTCCGTCAGGGATCGAACCCTGGTCATCCAGTCCATAACCAATCACCAAACTAACTAAGCTACCCCAGCTCACATATTATTCAACTACATGTTTAAAAATTTCCCTGTAGAATGTATACCAGAAGCAAATGGAAATTGACCCCAAATAATGTAGGTTGCGACATTTGAAAGAGAGTGTATAATGTTTGTCTGTAAAGCACACACAATCCATTAACCTTAATTAATGACCAAAAGGTAATCAGCAGCATTATCACTGTATTATCTATGCTACAGTAGTGATGATAGAAGGGCAAGGAGAGCAGTTACATCTCTTATTTCCCCATGATTTGTTGTTCACTGGCATTCTGATTTAAAGTTTGTGTGTTTAAATTTGACTGTAGACAAACAATTTTATATTAAAAACAACATATTTTAGAAGCTATTTTATTTAATACAGTTAGTTACTTACTATGTTAACCCTTAAAATGGCTGTTTTAAGACCTGGCATCTTTAACAAATCATCCAGAATCCCTAAGCTTCAACCAAGTATCTCAGTTGCCTTGCCATGTACTCAAATAGAAACTGAACATTTTACTTGATGAAGCAGCTTCATTGTTAATCAACTGTATATGTACTACATTGTGGGTTTCATTTGTTACTTCTGACTTGCTGAGATGGACATCAGCATGGTTAATAATCTAACAGAGACTCAGAGAGAGTTTTGTATACTTTTATGGTCACCCTGTGAACTTATTTGTTTATGTTTCAAAGTGAAACAGTAAATTATATGCCTTACAAGGGGACCCATTCAATTGAAACCCTCCAATTCAGCTCACATTCTGCTGTATGGCTGTCCTGTGAATGGCTAAAATATTGGGTGTTGACACACCACTGTTTCTATTTAAGACAAAATTTTATTCACCATTTTCTTCACTGTGTGTAAATTCTTTAGTGTTACGTTTCCAAACTAGTGATCAGGAATTGTGATCTTGTGAAATGACCACTGCTGTCACTCTACCTTACACTTCTAGATTGTTTCCTCTGGGACCACTTTAAGTCTATCGTTTACACGGATCGACAAAGGAATGTTAGGGAAATGCAGAACAAGATATGGTCTGAGTATGATAAAATCACTGTGCATATACTGCGGTGGGTGCAAGTAGCTGTTATGTTCTGTGTCAATAAGTACCTAGAAGTTGGTGGCCAACAATTTGAACATTTGCTTAAAGATGATTCAACAGTAAACCCTGTGGGACACAACTTTTTTCCCACAATGTATAGTAATGGTTTCCAGGAATTTCAAACAAACATGTCAGAATTACTCACCCACTACTGATACAAGTTTTTGAACCAAGTTAAAATATATTCAAACTCAAAGACAAATTTCTCCTTCTGGAAAATTAATTTCACAGTCCCCATTAAAAAAGTTTCCATTGAATCACAAGAGTGGGTTGTTGTCCCATATGTAAATTTTTCATAAAAACATTGTCCTTACTAATGAATGAACTGAATTTCTGAATTTAATACCTTTGATTAAAAAAATATGTAGACTTTGCCTGTGTACATAATCCACATCTACCTGATCATAATTAAACACTTAAAAGTGGAATTTATATTTTAAAACCTTTATAAAATGCAATTTATAGATTTTTAAATGAACCTGCTATATATCAAAAATATCCTGTTCTACAAGTAATAGTATGAATTATAAATATCTAAAAAGAACTGTTTTAAAGGCTCTGGTGATATTGTTAAAAGTCCATAACCACTTAAAATATGCATCATTCACAGCCATATTGTGACATGCAAATATCACGGGGACCATTGCATTTACTGAAAGTCACAACAAAACTGTGAAGAACAATCAATATTCTGTCAGTTCATTGTAAATACATTTTCACTGAACATTAATTGCAATGAGTCATGCCTCTGAAACCATGTTTACTTTAAGTTGCCACTGCTTATGGAAAAAGGTTCTGTAACATTGGTGGATGCAGCTGAACCCTTCCTGTCATCATCATCATCATCATCATCATCTTCATTTAATGTTGTCCCTTTCTTTTTATTCCATCTTGCTGAGCACTTGAGGTATATATACATCAAAAGGAGAGGTACTGGAGTCATAATTGCCACAGTTACTGGAACAACTGCAAACATGAAACAGCTTTACTGCAGCCAAATTGCTGTATTTCTGTATGTCCTTCCTATACTTCCACTAGAAGAAATAGTTCACTGAAAAGCTAATACAAATTCTCAGTACATCTGCTGTAAAGAGTTGCTACAGACAAGAAAAATTTATAAGTGGTTCTCATAAAAATGTCTACAAGCTCCAAACTACAGCCATTTTCAAGAAAAAATCAAATGATCCATAAAGCTATGTCCAGTTCTACAGTTCTGTCAGTTCAGTAGTTAGCAACAATGGATATTCACTTAACCTCAACAAATGTACCCAAAGTACTTTTTGTGCAACACAAAAACTAATATGAAGGTATTTATTCCTGACAGCTTGAAATCTGAATCATTTTTACTTCAATTTGATCTCAGGTTACTATTACATATTACACTTATATCACTACAGCACATAACAGTAAAAGTATAAACAAACAGCTAACCTGTTGTAAGATCTGCCTCAGGTTGTTCAAGAGAGAATCGAAGCAAAAAAATTACAATTCCGGTATTCTGGATCCCAGTTTCTATGGCTATAGCTAACGTATCATCTGGTGGCTGTTTGAACAGATGAGATAACAGCCAGCCAAAAAAATATCCAAGCCATGGTAAACTAAAACCAGCGACAAAAATCTAGAAAACAGGAACATGAATGTGAATATGTGAGTAATGATAAATGCTGAAGTAACAACTGTTCAATGTGAATCTTCAGCAATTCACAAATTTCTTCATCTGCATACATAGAAACACAAGTAAAATAACTATTTTTTCATAGGGTATTAATAAAGATTTTTTAACTACTACTGGTTTTCTTCTCCTTAAAATAAATTTGTTATACTACAAACTAACTCACATTTGTAGGATTTGAGGTTTTCACAGTGGTGGGTCTGAAGATTGTTGTCTTCTGGGTTGTTGCGCCGTGTAGTCTGGTACATGTGCTGGGCATCTACCAGACTACGAGGCGCAACAACCCAGAAGACAGCAATCTTCTAACTCAAATTTCTATCTACATTATCAAATATGGTGCAGAACAGGAAAGCAGATATCTAAAACAACAATTTATCACTAAATAAAGTTCAGAGATTCTAAAGCACCTGTAAATTCTGATTAAAATTTGCTAATGAGCTCTAACTGTGAATCATGATAATAGTGCAATTAGTAAAATAATTAACACAGGATGACTAGCATCCAAATATCAGCATGGTCACAGAAAATGTTCTTCCCTATTATGTCCAGAACAACAAGAAGGCACATCTCTCATTAACTGTAGCAGAAATAATTGTAAGATAATGCTGTGGCACATTATAATAGTAAATGTCTAATGAAATTCTACAATGCAGCATATAATTACAATTTATATGTATCTACCAAATGTTCTGCAACTTCTTAAAAACTCAGACTTCCATTTTCTTGCATTCTTATACCAGAAGTGGAGCCGGGTTAGCTCAGTCAGTATAGTGACTGGCTACAGGCTGGACTGGGGCAGAGGATTTTTCCTCTAGCGTCTGAGTCCAGACCAGCTCTGGGGCACAACCGGCTTCCTGTCTAATAGATACCAGGGTCCTTTCCCAGGGGTAAAGCACAGCTGGGGCGTGATACTGACAACTCACCACTCTCTACTGCTGAGGATATGAATGAGGAGGAGCTCCTCTGCCCCACAAGTACCTACATGGCATGTATGAGTACACCTTTTTATCCCTTTTTTCTTACACTAGAAAGTTACAGTTGATGTTACTTTTAAAATAATGGTAATTGCCTGAAGGTTTCACTAGTATTATATAAAAGTACATCTCACCTTCCACGTAAATAATTCAAACAAGTAGAGGTTTGTTACAATGGCAAATATGACAATGAAGAGAATCAGCAGTGCTGAGAATGGCTTCAAAATCCGAACCATGATTTTGGTGACGCGTGGAAGATACTTCTGTATGAGGAAACCTATGGCCAAAGGAATAACAAGAGCACTGGCAAACATAGCAATTCGAGAATACGGAATGCCCAACTTGCCCTGCTCGAAAATAACTTGGCCAAGTGTAAAGATCCATAATGGCATCATGGCTGCAAACATAAACATGTTACTTCCATTAGAACACAATGCTTATATCCTGATAATATATTTGAAAATTTAATATGAAGAACAATATATAGAGTGTGCTTGTACATTGACACTTGTATAACATGTACTTCATGCTGAGTCAAGCAGTTCCTGATGGGAGCATGGAAGTGACAGGTGTGTTTAACTTGTCAGTTGATGTACTATATTTGGCAATCGTGATGGAGTCAATAATGTATGTACAATAAATCATTTTTGAGAAATGTTACGCAAGAGCGTATATGGACACCAGGAATAATCTTTCAACTGTTGTTGAATTAAGTGGGCACATTTCTTCTGAAACTTTTAATTTCATACTATATAGCATGAGATACTCCCAAAATTTCTCTTTGTATATTTTCCTGTGACCCTCTTCTGCATGGGGGTTCATGCTGTAGATTCTGTCCTTAAAATTAAAATTATCCCATAAATAAAAGCCACATGGCTTAAGATGAGATACGAGATACGTGTTGGCCATGAGCTGTCAATTATTATTCTGTCATCAACAGTCCTTTGAAAGCTGTCAGAGAACTGTCTGTGGCGCGGATTTCATCAGAACAAAAAGTAAAATAAGATTGAACTTGATTGCCATAAACTGATTGTAAAAACCAGTTGCTAGCCATGTCATATGGTTGCAAAGCATGAACTACAATAGTCTTTTAGGCCAAAGTCTGAGTAGCTTTGTCATTTTGGCTGCTGATGACTTAAAGATCCTGGTGAAATTGGCAGGAAGCTTTGACATCTCATAAAGCTAAACCAGAGGTTTTCAACTTGTGGCCTGCCAACATGTTTTGTGCAACTTGAGTACATTTAAAAATACTGTGTCACTCTGTATGATGAAAAACAGTTAACCTTCCTCATATTAGAAAATATGCTTTATTAACGGTCATTCTTTGGCAGCACAAAATTACTTCTAACAACTTTCAGCTCAAAATGAATGTCAAATCAAAAACTAGGATGTCTTAGTGATGGACACTTAGGGGGATATGTGCAAATCATAACAAAAGACATTAAAAGTGTAACTATAAAATTATTTAAGCAAAATCATTGCCCAGCAACCCTGAGGATGAGAAAAGAGATGGTTATCAAAACATTGGCAAATTTGGTTTGTTCACTGTTCAGCCACCTGACGTGGCTTGTAGCCCGGGAGTATTTCATCTGCTTGTGTACTGCTGTTTTACATATCACTTAAATAAAGTGAAAACATTTTTTAATTACATTCATCTTTGTGTAAGCAGCCCTTAGTACGCACTAAGTTTAACAAGCCTGTTGTACACCATAATACATTGGTCATTCTACCAAGACTTCGTATCTTAAATTAGGTAGCGACTTTCCTCCACACAAAGTGTATGACTGCAAATTCCAAATTGTGCATTGTATAACATAAAGGCAAATACAAAATGATAATGAAATTTGGTTTGACACATATGAAAGGTATGGGAAATCCCACAGAATGACAACTGTGAATTGGATGATGAGACCGATGTATCGATTTCTTAACATCAATAATATCATATGTACATACGGATGCACACATATACACATGTATACATATACTTACCAAAGGCAGCAAAGGTGCTAATTGTCGTCATAGTAATGCTGAGACTTAGGTTGCCTCCCAGAACATAAGTCCATATATTGGATGCACCACCTGCAGGACTGACTCCAGTGAAAAACATACCCAGTTGCATAGGAACCGAATCATAAAATAACCATTTTCCCAAACCAAAACTGATCTGAAAAAAAGAAGAAAATACATGTAGTCTGTTCAACAAGGAATAAACTACTTATTAATAACTCTGATTCACATGTTTTAGCTCTGAAAACTACTGCATGACTTTTGATTACATTTGATATTCAGGATCTATACTATACAAGTTGCCCAGATTTCATTTTCTTCCAGTGGTGAGTATGAAGATAATTGTCTTCTGGGATGTTGCACCTTGTAGTCTTGTAGGAGTTTACCCATGTCTCAGAGGTACTTTCTGCTTCCTTGATCATGGCAATGAGTTGCCTACATGCAAGAAATTCCTAAAATTCTGAAAGAGTCATCTTTATAATGTAAGTTGTCTGACAAATTTCATTTTGGTTTGCATCAGTCTGAAATAACTTCTTCCTTACAAAAGATCAATTCAGTCTACATTAGTTTCCTCAAAAATGGCTCCTTATACACAAATTAATGGATAAATCACTTCAAGATATGAAACTTCTGTTTCAAACATTTTCCAATATTTATTATTTCCAAAATGCAGAGTAAAATCATTTCTCACTTTTATGCTGACTGCTTTCTGTACAGCAAATGAAATATCCAAACAAAAAGAAAACTTAGAAAACCACAATTTATTTTTCTAAAAAAGTCTATAAGGACGGAGCATTTAGAATGTAGGATTTGAGGTTTTCACAGCAGTGAGTCTGAAGATTGCTGTCTTCTGGGATGTTGCGTCGTGTAGTCTGGTAGATTGGTGGAAGTCTACCAGAATACACAGCACAACATCCTAGAAGACAGCAATCTTAAGCATTTAGAATGTTTACAAACAGTATGATATCAAACCAAGAAACAGCATGACATAATTCACACCAGCAGAAATTTATGGTAATCCCTTTAGATAACTCCAGTTTCATTGAAAGTAGTCCAGTTTTGTCATGTTGTCTACCTTCTTTAATAAAGCAACATTTTTAACCATAAAACTGAAATAAAAAATATGGAAATATACAAGTAATTTAAACCAGTTTAGTAACATATCACACATCTTATGGTGAAATTTCATAAAGAAAAAGAAAACTTACCAATGGCATAATCAAGAACTGACTCACAAATCCTATAACGGGCCCTAATGGCCTGCGGACAGTTTTCTTGAATACCGACCAATCCAATGCACATCCAAAATTGATGTAGATGACGGACACAAGGACAGCAACACTGTATGTAAAAACCTGGTCAATCACTCTCTCACTGCGTACAACCCTCACACTTACTGGGTTGGAGTTTTTCAGAAGAATTTGACTACTATTATCCATGAGTTGCAGATGTACATTTGCATATCCCAAGAAGTTTCCTGTAACACTGAAGGCAGAACTCCACTTACCAGGATATGATATATTTTCTGTTTTCAGTATGTAAACCTTGTCTGTAGGATAGGGACTTGCTATGCTCCCATCACTTGTTTTAACATGTACGACACCAAAATCGATCTCTTGCTGCTGAAGTTCGGTAGAAAATTTTACTGTTGATACGCTGTCCATAGGTAGTAAGAGTTCCACAGGGTCAAAGGTGACACCCCACGAACTCGTCCTGTTGGTGACATACGACACGACGGAAGATGACACCACCCACAAAGGGCAGAGGAGAATGATGTAAATGAAGAATAAATGAAATGGCCACAAAGGACACATGGTAAATATGGATCAAGCAACTGCAAAACAAAATAAAAACATGAGTCAGGTACTGCTGCTATGGGTATGACATTCGTGTAAAATTAGGTTATAATACATAAACACTGGAAATACAGTACACCATACTTATACATGGAACCACTAAATTTGACTACATGATATTTCTGCAAATGCAAAGTTAAAACAAATGCAGCCCGCACAATGAAAACAACATATAACATACAGAATACATAATATGTGTGTTATATATAATGAGCACTTATCTCGTAAGAATAGCCATTAATGCCCCAAGGTAAACTTCACAAACAAGTTCAATAAATTGCATCAATTGGCTAATACAATGTACTTGACGAGCACTCAAGGAGTGTAATGTAAGTTCGACTTGCTTTGTGACATACGGAAAGCAGAATGAAACATGCAACATCATCGGGAAAAAGTATTTGTGGCACTGAAGAATGCAGTTAAACTGTTTGAAATGCAGGTATAAAATGACTAACTAACTAACTAGATGGCTTACCGAACCCGAAGGTTCATCACCGAATTAACCAAAGCCCTCCACCGGACCCTGTCCTGGGCCAACAAAATCCAGTCTCCTTCAACTCCTATCTCCCATAGATCACGCCTGAGATTATCCTCCCATCTACGTCTAGGTCTCCCCAGAGGTCTCTTCCCCTCAGGCTTCCCAAATAGTGGACCCAACCAAC